AAGTTTGAAATTTCTGAATAATAGATTTAATAAAAATACAAAATTGTATATATATGCGTAAGTATGTATATAACTTTTATATTAGCAATTAAATAGTGCGAAAGTTTTACCAGCACTACTAGACTTTATTTGTTAGCTCTACAAAATTTTTGGCTAACATTATTTATATATAAATATTATATACCAGAACTTATATGTAAAATTACCCAAATTTCTACCCATATATAAAAGCTATGATACTACGTAGATCTACAGATAATTTTAAATATCGACATATTTAATATTATTAAATTTCATTTGAACACTTGTTCAACATGTTTAGTATGCTTAGTTTATGCGAAAACATATATATATAATTAAATTACAATGTATATATATGTACTGTAATTTAGATCTAAAATTAATGACTTAATCAGAATGGTTGAAAAATCATTGATCAATTTTTATTAGGTGTTCTAGGAATTATGAAAATAGCAGTAATAAAAATTTTTCTTGGCAAAACTGATTGGTGTTTCAAAATGGAACACACATGTGATTTTTATTACTCAACATCTGTATAATTAGATGCTTTTTTTTTAGTTTTACCTATACCAACTTGATATTTGAATTATTCCATCTTGTATAATAAATATTATTAAACATACAATCTGAGATTGAATTGTTGAGAAAAATAAATCTGAAGCTCTTAGTCGAGATCACTGAACTTAGAAAGGAAATGCTGAAGTCAAGGCTGAGAATATCAAAATTAAAGCCAAGAATGTAAAGTTAAAGCATATTTTGGAAGAACATGAAGCCAGATTCATGGATTTAGAGCAGAGAGATAAAAAGAAGACCAACCTTATTGCTAAATTAGATGATGATATTAAGAAAATCAATCATGAGCAAATTGTTATTAATCTTTTAGTGCAAAGTGATACATCTATACCAAAATCTCTAATTAATTCAAAATCACAAGTAACTTTCTAATCATCTGTTTCATCACCTATTGAGGATGACTCTAATATGAAGGATAGCCCTAATGTAACTCAATATACTTGTTTAGAATCTAAAACATT